ACACACACACACACACACACACACACACACACACACACACACACACATTCACCTCACAGTTGTTGAGGAAGACCAGTTGTCCCAGTTTGGCGATGAGCAGCTGATTAGCTGTTTTGGGGTTTCCATCACTGCTCACCAGCTGGTTACCACGACACGAAAAGTGAGCCAAACTGGGAAGCTTCCCAAGTTCATCCACCACACACCACTGAGAGAGAGAGAGAGAGAGAGAGAGAGAGAGAGAGAGAGAGAGAGAGTTCAACTTCAGAGCAGCGTTGCTGTTTTCCATGAATCAGAGTAACTCAAGTGAAACTATTGACCAACAGACGCTGAACAGAGTTTCTGTTCACTGTCGACACACTGACCTCAGAGATGTTGTTGCCGTCCAGGTTGAGCTTCATCAGCGTGGAGAACATGGCTGTTTGAGATCCTACAGAGGAAAGATTCAACATAAGTAATCAATAATCATCATTATTTTATCAAAACCTCTTCTTTGACATAATGCTATAAAAGACATACAGTGTAGATAATACTATTAATCATGATAATAATAATATTAAACTGTATTTAAACAGCATTCTTCAAAGAAAGTGCATCACATGGTTAACTGAGGATGTGACTGTGAAGCAGTAGGAGGTTAAGAGTAATTATTAATGCGAGTTATTACAATTTTTTTTTACCAGGAGCAGCATCGTCAAATCGAATGTCAGACAGTCCCGTCCTGGACAAGTTCAGCTGCTCCAGTCTGCAATCAAACAACATTTTTCCATTTTATTTCAGAAGCTTTTGCCAAAAAAACGACATGAAAATTCTTTAAATTCGATAAATACTAACAGTTGAAAAGTTATTAGTCTCCTGCCACACGAGTCTGATTCGTTACAGTCAGATGTCTGAGAGGACGTCTCTATATTTCTGAATGGTCTTTCATGCTTTTAGTTTGTAGAAAGTCATCTTTACAAATAGATGGTATTTTATATGAAGGGTTTGTTTTGTACATGGAGAACAAAACCAGACTGAAAGGAAAGAAAGAGACAAATATCCCTCTGAGCAACAGTTGAATAAGAAGAGAAGAAATATCACCAGTCACTGGTCAAAGAAACTGGAAGCTCAGCATCAACATGTGTGCAGATTTAAATAAGATGTTTCTGTTTCAGTGTCTAGTGTCTCACAGTAATGCAGCCAAATAACAAGCTGGAAGATCATCAGCCATGTTTGAGACATTGACTGAATGAAAGTTTGATTTAATTCTTATTCTTTTGGGGCCAAAACTATTTCAAATGTAAAGAATACATCTGGTGTCTGAATTATACTGGTTTTTTTTTTTTATCTGTGTTAGAATAGCCTCTATTGAAGGAAAGAAGAAGAAACATCAATCCAACAGCTGATTCCAACCTTTTGAATGCTTGTGTGTGTGACAGTGTGTCTGTGTGTGAACTGTACCTGGGCAGAGCTGCTAAAGTGAGCACGCTGTGCTGCACTAACTGATTATAGGACACATCGAGGCTCTTCAGGGAGCGCAGCACTCCTTCAGGCCTTTAAAACATCAAACACGTCAGAGTTACCAACGTCGGATGAATTAGGAAACAGGAAACAGGAAGCAGGAAGCGACAGCGTTACCTCTGCAGCTCGGTGACGTTGTTCTCTTGTACGGAAAGATCCTCCAGCTGTGGCCACATGGGGGCGCACTCCAGGATCTGACCAGAGACCAGCAGGGAGAGATAAATCCATGAGTAAAACACACACACACAAACAAAATGTATCGATGATATGAAATAAGTATTTATACTTTTTTATTGTATACTGTGGTGGAATATAGGAAGATACATGAATTCCAAAATAAATGATTTCTTTACAAATATGCCTGCGCTACGCCTGCCTGCGCGCTACGTGCGCGCTACGTGCCCCGTTATGTACGGACAGGTGTACCTGTGGCCAGGTGAGGTCACAGCCGTTGAGGACGAGGACTCTGAGGCTGCAGAAAGCCTGGCAGTGAGCCGAGACGTCAGAGGGCAGACGCAGTCTATTGTTGCTAAAAAAAAACCAATAAAACAAGAGGAAGCGCTCAGTTAAAAGACAGAATGAAAATCACATCCAACACACAGAGTCAGAGGAATGTTTACATCAGCTGTAGTCTTTCCAGTTCGTCCAGCTGCTGAGTGATGGCCGACACGTCCTCCCAGCAGGACAGCAGAGACCTGCTCATGTCCAACCACTGCACGTCTGATCACTGCCGTTAAGGACTCACTGAGCTGATATTCACACCGCCGACGTAGTACAGTACTTATTTTCTGTATACTTAATGCTAGGGGAATGTTTTCTTTTCACAGTCTGTATATCAATGATTAGCAACAACATTGGTTTTGATGCTTTGCATGACACACTGCAGTGCTCCATAATCCAGCAGCATTGCCCCTAGTGGAAACCAGGAAGATAGCGTGTATTTGGTCTTGGGAATTTGAAGTCAGGGCTCCAGATTAAATGTCTGATATAATGAAATGCATGATTTTATGTTGTAAAAGAAACGTGCTTTTAATGGGTTCCAATGGGAACATTTTTGTCCTTAAGGAGATCAGTGTCTGTATTTTGGCGACAAACACTGAGCACTATCTTAATTATATCGTCAGTTTGGTGTACGACGTTAACAGCACTGTCACTTTACATCAGAGAGTCATTTTTTGTGAAGCCACATGAGGCCTGCTGTGTAAAAAGATACTTGGAGTTGTTTTCCTGATTTCTCCGTCAGCCCCGGGTCCGTTCACTTCACAGCGGCTGAGCAGCGCTGATGGAAGACTCTCATAACTGTCGAGACAACAACAACAACAACAAAAAAGGATCAATAAACATGAAACAGGTCCTTGAGCCCTGAACTATTTAATCATGTTACCTCCTCCTCTCCAGTAAGACAGACAACAACAAATACTATCCAGATGGAATCACCTGTACTACAATAGGTCTACTGATGTCACACACTACCGTTTCTACTTTCCTTCAATAAAGGCTACTCTAACTATAATTGGAACTTGGATTTTGAATTTGTTTTCCAGTCCAGAAAAGCGTCAGTGACCCTCGATCATTATTGAACCACATCGGTGCAACTGGGCTCTAAATATTAAGTGTGTTTTTCTTTGGGCCCTCAGCAGTCTACTGTGTTAGACTAAAGAGGTTTAAACTGTGGTTTGTCAGTCCATAGTGTGATCAGCTGATATTCTAATGCCTCTAGCCCTTTTCACTTGTTAAGAATTTGTTTTTAATTCATGCTCTTCCTTTCTCTTTGCCTGCTACGTCTACGGCTGCCTTTGAGCAAGGCACTGCCTCTGTGTAAATTAATACTCAAAAGAAATTTAAACAGATCAACAAAAATTGTCTGATGAGCATCGTACCCGCGGTCCTTGATTTTGCCCAACACGGAGATCTCCTTAATCATCACCTCCTCTGTGTCGATCCGATACGTCTGTCGCACAGCGGTCAGGTAGTCCACGCCTAAGCGCACCTTCGCTGGACGGACAAAGGAGCCTCCTTTAGGGTGTCTGAGAGGATGTAAAGAAAACCATCAGGGACCTTTACTCATTTCAGATCAGATCAAATAATCAAATTAAAAGACTGTATAACTGTGGATTCTTATTCTATTTGTTGAATGTAACAAAAACATGTTCTTCACTTGTCATCAAACATCTTATTTAGTCTAACAAACATAGAAAATAAGCTTCGCTTTCAGAAATGTGCATATGTACTCATGTGAGCGGATACTAACTTTCCAGCTCCACGAGGCATTAAAGTGACGGTAGCAACTTACCTGCAGGTGAAGTACTGGACTCCCTCGTGGCTGCCGTCGTGTTTGCCTCTCTCTGGGTTATCCCACTCAACGCCGAGCCACAGCCCTGAACACACGAAACAAAACACTTGATCAATGCTAGTGCATCAACACGTGTGGGAGGTGGAGTACCGATGGTGGGCATGTGGGAGTTTTTCAGTAAGTTTTTCAATTCCATGAAGAAGTTCTCCAACGTTGAATGTCGTCTAAACACAAGCAAACATCTGACGAGGCATTTGATCCCAAACCTGACTGTTTGAGACGCTCTGGGCTTTGTTTGGTGAGGCAAAGCATGAGGACGCTGGTCAAACATCTGTCCGACTACAAAGCTGCAGATGTCATGCAGCCTTCTTTTCTCTTCTGGAGTTCCCTTTGTGCGTTGTCCTAAGTATTCGTTGTCTCGCTATATATTTAAGTATAGTATACTATACTTAAAGATATACCTAAAGTACAATAACTAAAAGGTCTCTTTGCAAAAATTGGCCAATTTCTGAATAATATTAATGATATTATTGGGTTATAATTATTGATTCGATAATGTGTTCATCACTTTAATGTTGCAGCTGGTAAAGGTGGAGCTTATTTACATTACTTTATAAACTGCTGGGTGAATTTCACCAAGGAATCAACCATATTTTATCTAAACCTCTAGTCATACATCATAATTTCATCATAATAATGATTATATCTTATATTAACAATCTGAATCTGAAGTAAATAAAGCTGTCAAATAAATGTAATGGATTCAAAAAAGGGCATTTCTCTCTGAGATGTAACGTTAGTGGAGTAGAAGTATAAAGTAGCACACAAGTACTTTAAAACTGTACTTGAGGGTAGTAACGTTAAACACTTGAGTAACGTTAAGTTACATCCCACCACTGCTACGACTAGCTGCAAGAACAGTGACCTAAACACTGGGGATAGAGTGAGTGTGAGAGGTTTTAACCAACCTTCTGTCGGTGGCACCGGGCCCACATATCGCACCGTGGCCCGCTCCCCGTCGCAGGACACCCGCCTGCTCACCAAGTCCTCCGGCTCCGTCTGGTCGACTCCCATCGAAGCCTTGTTTTCTATCATCAACGTCAGAACTTGTCGTTAGCTAGCGTTCACCGTATTCCACAATCCTCCCCTCCTTAAACGATGAAAAACATTTGTTAAATAATTACTGACATAGAGAGATATAAAGATAACCTGCGACGTTTTAAAATGCAGGCTTTAATGTAGGTTAGCTTCTATCTAGCTAGCAGTTCAACGTTACAACCCAAAACATTGACGTCTCTGGCCAACCGGAAGTGACAGATTTCGAAGCTGCACACAAATGTCTTCACAAATAAAACTGATGGTAAATAGGTATGATATTAAATATGTACGTTTACGTACTCTAGCTTAACCCTGTCTGATTCTATATGTGTAGTGCTTAGTTCGGCGATATTAAATCGACGTTAATGAAAAACAAAAAGGAACCTTTGTGTGGCAGCGACCTTGTTCCCGATGGGAAGTGATTTGCAGTAGAACGGGCCGTGTGCTGGTAAGGAAAACGTGTGAACGTGTGTGTAATAACTCTCGTGTTATTGGCGTTTAAAATCGTAGAAATTCGTTTAATTGCTACATTTAACACGATAAATTACTTGTTTCAATAAATAGAAGAAACCAGAAATCAGTTTCCGAGTGACGCTGGAAGAAACCATGAAGAAGAAACTCCAGAAGAGGTTTGTTTACACATTTTTATTTCCCAAAGTAACGTGAACGAAAGGGACCTGCGTCATGTCTTTGACCACAGATTAATTTATAATCAATGAAGTGAAGCAGCTGTCCGGCAGACACAATACACGACAAAATGGCTCAATATCCTTAATTTTACTGTTTGTATCAACCCTCGGCAGCGGGGAATGAAGTATTCACTGTGTCAGATCCTTTATTTAGGTACAACTACTAATATCACACTATATATGAATACTCTAATACAAGTAGAAGTCCTGCATTGAAAATGTTACTTGTTTTGTCCAACTAACAAATCAAACCTCAATATATTACTAATACATTACAATGATTGACACGTGAAGCTGGAACCATGAAATGTCTTTAAATTAAAAACGATTAAGCGATTATCAAAGTAGTTGGCAGTTGATTTTCTGATCAGTCAATCAATTTATAGTTTCAGCTGTACTTGTACATTTTCATATGTTTTGTGTGCAAAATCAGCAACAGTATGTGATGGGAAGTAAAACTAAGATAGTTACACATTGTTTTCAGTACACTTTCCTTTTCATGTGCACTAAAAATGTAACTGATCTATCTAGTTATTGTAAGACTCCAACCCCGTATTCCGTACTCTGATGACGAATATCCACTATTTTACTCCTGAACAGTTCATATCTTTACTCACATACTGTATTCTCGGAGCCGATCCTCAGTATTTAGTGTCACCCTCTTTAATTTAGCAGCATTCTGACGTTGTCTGTGTGCTGCACCTTCTTCATTTCAGTGTTTCTGTCGTCGGTGAAGAGGCAGTGTCGGGGGAACCGGCAGCTGACTACGAGGTGGGTCAGGTGTCAGGAAGTTTGTTCAAGAAGAAATCTGCCGCCTCCGGATCGCTGTCGACTTTATTCAGCACCGCTGCACCGGCTGGTCCTCTTCTGTTTCAGCCTGCACCCAAGGTAACTCAAACAGACACAAAAAAGACTTATTCATTTCTTAAAACAGCTGGTTACTGTAGTACTAATCCACACTTGTACTTCAACATGTACCGTGTGGTTGTTTTTATGGCAGCCTGTTCAGAAGAGCACAGAAGCAGAGGAGCAACAGAAGGAAACTCCAGAGGTCAAAGGTCAGCCCAGTCAGAAGATTAATCAGAAGCAACTTAAGGAGAAATCTGAAGCCGACCAGAAGCTGGACAACAGGTGAGGAGTTTAGAAACAGACATCACTTCGTTAATCCACAGAGCTGTCGTCGTCCTCTTCTTCTTTCTTTCTTTCCTCCTTGTTCTGTTGTTTTCTTTTCTTTTTTGCATTTGTATACAACACCAACGATATTGTTATTTTTGCTCTCTAAATATTCTTTCACAAAATCCTCGTAATTTCTTGTCTTTTAGTTTTCCCTCTTTGATTCCGTAACATTCGTCCCCCTCATTTCTTTAATTCCTCTTCCTCTCTCCTCCATTGCTTTTTAGGGAGATCAGTTTACAGAACGCCGACGAGGAAGAGCGAGGGAAGGCGGCGCCCGCCAAAAAGAAGAAGAGGAAAGCGCCGGAGCCGGAGGGAGAGATCAGTGCGGAGCAGTGGGTGATGAAGAGGCAGAGGCTGAAAGCCAGTAAAGAGGAGGAGGTGGTAAAGGAGAAGAGGACGGTGTTTGTTGGCAACCTGCCCATCAGCTGCACCAGGAAGGTACAGAGAGAACAGAGGAGTGAAATGCTTGTTTTTAACATGAAAATAACTGAGGTCATGTCCGTATATCATACGATTAGGTAATAACGTAATTATGATGACAGGCCTGATAGAGACCATGAAAACAGAACTTTAACACACCTAAGGGCCGGTTACAGAAAGCCAGTTCACCAACACTTCATCATTTATCAGACTTCAACTTCGTTTAGGATGAAGTGCTGGACTCCTACAGTATGTTACGCTACATTTTAAAATACATTTATAGTGCGCTGTGACCTGACGGGGACAAAATGCAGCAACTGATAATAAAAATATGGATCCAACAGAATAAACGGTTTACTTTTGGACCTACACCTCGTCATCCGACAGTAATAACAATGTTTTTGTGTGAACGCAGTTGAAAAGGCGTCGAGTTTAATTGTGTACATTTAAAAGTCTACATTCGATTAACAAACTCAGAGTTTTGACGAAGGAGAACAGAAGACATAAACATTTTGCCTCCACAGCTTCACTGCTTTAAACTTTCAACCTGATTTTCTATAATTGTTTATTCCTGGATTGATCAATAATCTGTAGTAGAGAAGAAGAACCTGATGTTTTTTTTCCCCCTTTGTGTTTCAGACCCTGCAAAGCCTCTTCAAAGATAAAGGAACCATCGAGTCCATCCGCTTTCGCTCTGTGGTAAAAACACAACAACACACAAACAACGCCAGCAAATAGCGCTGAACAGCCGGGAACACGCAACAGAGCTTCTTTCTCTGCTTCTATGCTTCACTGCTGTTTACTCCTCCCTGATACGTTGTTCATCATTTCATTCAGGAAAGATTATTGAAGAGGGAGAAAGAAGAAGCTGTCAGGGCTAGCTCCCTCGCTAAATGTCATTGAACCATAAATTCACAGTTTATTCAGACGACATATTTCAGATCTCAAAGATCACGACACTTTGCCACCGGTCAAGATGTCAAAGTTCACCAAAGTTGAATTTTATTTATTTATGTAACTTCTCCTCAGCTCCTAATGATCTGTTTTGTTTGCTCCCTGTAGGTCAGAGAGGATCCCTTAATGTCCCGCAAAGTAGCAGTTATTCAGTAAGTTTCTGTCTGAATCCGTTCTGTAGAGTTAAGAGTTGATAAACTACCAAAACAACCTCCTCACATGGTAAACTCTCGTGTGGGGTTGTCATCTTCTTCTTTTTTACTTCACAGACGCAAAACTCATCCAAAAAAGCAAAGCATAAACGCCTACGTGGTGTTTGAGGACGAGGCCACAGTCGCCAAAGCGCTGGAGAGGTGAGTCATTAAATCATTCCCACAAATGGAGTCGCCGTGTGCGTTCAGCCAACAACAACAAGCTCTCCCTCGGTCTGTCTCTGCTCACAGGAACGGCATGGAGGTCGAGAAAGACTTCCACATCCGAGTGGACAGAGTGACGAACGGCTCATCGGTGAGTCTCCACATCGCAGTTCATCTGTAAATCTGTTGACATGAGTTTTTGGAACATATTTGGTGACATTGTGCTTGTCTTGCAGTACGAAAACAAACGCTCCGTATTTGTGGGGAATCTTTCGTTCGGTGAGTCTCTCCGCTGTTTTAATCTTGACGAGTGTTGATGTTCGGCATTTTGTGTCGAAGTTGACCTGCTGTGTGTGTGTGTGTGTGTGTGTGTGTGTGTGTGTGTGTGTGTGTGTTTAGAGTTAAACGAACTGGCTTTTCGGCGGCACTTTGAGGAGTGTGGCACAGTGGAGGCTGTACGATTGGTGCGAGACCAGAACTCTGGATTTGGGAAAGGATTCGGTTACATCCTGTTTGAGGTACGACGACCCAAACGGCGCTTTTCTTTTTTTGGTTTGTGTTCTCTTGAGGTTATTTTTTTTGTACCAGGTTTTATGTGAGCTTTAATGGTGTTGTACCGGTTTGGTACTTCCTGTTGCAGAGCGCCGACTCGGTGCAGCTGGCGTTGGAACTGGAAGGCACCAAACTGGAGGGCAGACCCATCCGGGTGAAGAGGGCGTCGAGGCAGAAGAATAAAACGGACAGCAACGAAACCAAAGGGAGGACCGGCAAGGGCCCCATGAAGGGCCCCGGCAAAGGCCCCATGAAGGGCTCGGGTCAGGAGAGAGGCGGCGGTTTCAAGTCTAAAAAGAAGTTCTCTGGAAACCAGCAGAAGAGCTCCACCTCCTTCAAAGGAGAGATGGTGGATCCAAACAAAAAGATTAAAAAGAAAGGACTGAAGAAGAAATCAAAGCCCAGAAAGACTGTTCATATCTGATATCCGATCTACATCTCAGCAATAGAAAGTGTGTGAGGACTAGACTACTGTCTAAAGAGAAACCAAAAGAAAGAATTATAGTCTGTCAACGATGACGGAGTAGTGATGGGCCCCCGTTAGGATAATAATAATAATAATAATAATTTGAGAATTAGAAAATGAAGTTGCTGTCTCTGCGTCGGCTTTTACTTACAGAAAGCTTTGCTCTGTTTGTCATCGTCTCTTTACTCCAGGATGCTTCCCGCTGAAAAGCTGTGAGCTGCACTTTATCGGAAGTGGTGCAGTTATAATTTGTGTGGACAATAATGGTGAGATTTATGTCGGACGATCTGAAGTGTTTTCAGTTAGTTTTCCACCTCCGATGAAGAGCATCTTACAGCCGACAGGGTTCAACGTCCGTCAGATGGTCTGAATGAGATACGATCAAATCATTGTTGGGGCAAGTGAAGTTTTTCTTGAAATATTAAGCCTTTATTCTTTACAACATTGTCACAACATTACGACTTTATTCTCGACTTATCAGAATACAGATATGTGGGAAATGTTTTGAATGTGCAGAAAGTTTCTAACGGAAGCGGAAACGTTGCTGAAACACAAAATGAATGAATGTATCACGGATGTGGATAGGAGCCACATGCACATTTAAAGAGGTTACTTCCTCACAACAAGAGGACAGAAGAGTAAATCAAGCCCTAGATTTGTGTTGACTCAGCAGAGATGATATTAAATATTTGAAAGGAATTCAGAATCCCGGAGAGACTTGCTGCCTAATATTTTGATTTGTCACCTGGCGTATGAAGTTTGTGTTGTCCTTCACATACATAAAGACATTTCCACCATAAATCGCTGCATAAAAAAAAGTCACCAGACTGCTGTTAGTCTTTATGCTAAGCTAGGCTAACCACATCCTGTCTGTAGCTTCATGTTTAACATTCATGGTAGTTATCGTGGTAGAAAGTCAATAAACATGTTTCCTAAAATGTTGAAGTGTTCCATTAATGCTGCGTTCACACGTTATCTATTTTTAGTAAATATGTTTAAAACCTGTTAACATTCACATCAACGAGTCAACTTTTAGTGAAGTACCTTTGTGATGTGTTCAGATTAATCACCAAGATGTCTGATATGAGTCATATGCATATTTGACAGGCGTTGGGGTGTGTATGGGAGAGACAACTGGGACAAATATGATGAGGGTCACATGACTGACTGTCAGCTAAAAGCCAGACTACTCTGAGTAAACCAGAGGGAGGAAACAAAACCTCACCAGTTAAGAGGCGGAGCTACACTGTGAAGAGAAGAGCTTCAACGTCACACTCCAGAAACGAAAGTGACTTCATCAGGTCTTTCTCAACAACACAGCAGAGTCTCTTC